GACCTTTTGAGACGTGGTAATGTCACTCTTTTGAAGAATCTGGACACACCAGGCCCCTTCCAGATCACTGTGCCCAGCCTCAAAGCTCTCGTCCTTGGTATTGAAGAAACAGAATTAAATATTATTCACTTTCATCCTATGGTTAAGCGTTGTTGTTAGCTGCCATCAAGTGAGCCCCCAACTCATGGCAACCCCGTGTACAATGGAACATAAGGCTGCCCAGTCCCACACCATCCCCATGATCACTTGTGGATCAGACCATTGTGATCCGTAGGGTTTTCACTGGCTGATTTTCAGAAGTAGATCACCAGGCCTTTCTTCCCAGTCCATTTTTGTTGTTAATTGCCTTCCACTTGGCCCCTGAGTCATGATGATCCCACGCACAACAGGATCAGGTCGTTGTGATCCACAGAATTTTCACTGGCGGATTTTTTGGAAGTAGATCACCAAGCCTTTCTTCCTAATCTGTCTTAGGAAGCTCTGCTGAAACCTGTTCAGCATCATAGCAAATACAAGCCACCACTGACAGATGGGTGGTGGCTGCGCATGAAGTGCACTGGCCAGGAATCGAACCTGGGACTCCTGCATGGAAGGTGAGAATTCAGCCACTGAGCCACCACTGCCTCATATGTTTAAGCATAGTTTATCTATAATTGCACCCTACCATCTCCGCTTTAATCTTACACAAAATGCAGACTAAACAACAGCAGGACCAGTGATGTGTGCATGATGATATGGATGCAGTGTTATCATCGTCCCCCTCGGTGCTGCTTCCCCCAAGGCTCTAAAGCTGTTTTCAGCATTTTCCTGGAAGTCTACATTTAAGCGCCAAGGAAAGAGGAAGAAGCAGAGACTATGAGTTGTGGCAAGTGGGATCCATGTCTCAATTATCTTTGTATCTTTGGGAACATTCACCTCTGAGGTCTGGTCTTGGTTTAAACAAACCCATTGCCATTGAGTCAGCTCCAACTCTTGGTGACGCCATGTGTGTTAGAGTAGAACTGTGCTCCATAGGGTTTTCAGTGGCTGATTTTTTGGAAGTAAGTCCTGAGACTTGTCTTCTGAGGCTTCTCTGGGTGGACTCAACCTCCAGCCTTTCAGTTAACAGCTGAGCAAACCATTCTCATCACCCAGGAACTCCTGATATTAGTAAACTTGACCTAAATGTATATGGCATTGATTTGGATGAGGAAAGGTGTTTGTTAGACATTAAGGGCATCAGACTGGGCACTGGGAGTACAAAGACCAATAAAATGCTTAACACCAACTGAGTTGGAGCCGCTACACAGAAAGGAAGGAATGTCCTGGGGAAGGAGGGTGTGAGTGGGGCAGAGTGGGGAGGACAGAAACGGAGCGAGAGAAACCAGATGTGGGGAGTCCTAGGTTGTAGAGAAATGGGAAGTGGTTGAGGTAGAGAAAGATGGAGTGCAGGGAAGAAGAAAAAGGCAAAAGCACAAGAAAGGAAGGAAGAAGGGACAAGGAGAAACAGACCTGCCCACGTTTGAAGCCATCTCTGAGGCTGCGTTTAGCTATTTTTGTTGTTAATTGCCTTCCACTTGGCCCCTGAGTCATGATGATCCCACGCACAACAGGATCGGGTCGTTGTGATCCACAGGATTTTCACTGGCAGATTTTTTGGAAGTAGGTCACCAAGCCTTTCTTCCTAGTCTGTCTTAGGAAGCTCCACTGAAACCTGTTCAGCATCACAGCAACACACAAGCCTGCACTGAGAGACGGGTGGTAGCTGCGCGTGAGGTGCAGTGAGCGGGAATCGAGCCCGGGTCTCCCACATGGAAGGCGAGAATTCTACCACTGAACCACCGCTAACATAAAAACCCTAAACCTCTTGACAACACGCTATCAAGCTGGGTGGAACGACTTGGATAAATTTTAAAGTGGTGAACATAGACCCAGTATTATTCATTTCCCCCCAATATTATTCCTTAAATGCATAAACAATAGCCACAAAGATCAGAAGAAAAGGAAAAAAGCCCTCCAACACCCCTTCCATGCTCAATCAGTCAAGCTGCCTTCAATATGCGTTTCTTTCCTCCCCGGATTACATGTCAGTTACAAGGTTCATTTTAATTCCTCGTTTTGTATTAAGAGAAATGATTTGTATTGATCAGCAGTGTAGTCCAGGTATTTAGGGTTCCTCACTACTGTGGTGCTTAAATTGAGACCTGTCTTGAGGTCCCTATTTGTAAATCCTATTTCTGAGAAACAGTAATAAGTAAAGCAGAAGATTGAAATTGAATTTTTGTAAAAGGACTTTAGAGGGAAAGCTATTGTACGTCAGTCCAATGTAGTGAAAGAGAAAGTGTCCTTCAACATAGACAAGCCAGCTCACCGCTCACCTCTGGGAGCCCTGCCTGTCAGCAGGATGGAGTCTGCTCTTTCAGGAAGCGGGTGACCAGGTTGTCCCAAAAGGATTGTTAGGATAGGAGCAATGACTTCAAATGCTAGCCAGAAATCTGTGTGTGTGTGTTTTCTTAGATACTTTTTTTAAAACAACAGCTTTGTTGTTGTTGTTGTTAGGTGCCATTGGGTCAATTTTGACTCACAGCGATCCCCGGTGACTGGGTAGAACTGCCCCATAGGGTTTCCTAGGCTGTAATCTTTACCAGTGCAGATCACCAGGTCTTTCTCCCACAGAGTGGCTGGTGGGTTCAAACTGCCAACCTTTTGGTTAGCAGCTGAGTGCTTAACCATTGCACCACCTGGGCTCGGTTGTGTGTATGTTTTTAACAGCTTTATGAGATATAATCCCCATACTGTACAATTCACCGTTTTAAAGTGTACAGTTCAGTGGTTTTTAGTATATTCACAGATGTGTGCAACCATCACTACAGTTAACTTCAGTACGTTGCATCATCTTGAAAAAGCACCCCATACTCTTTAGCTTTCACCCTTCTACGCTCCCATCCACCTGTCAGCCCTAAGCAACCTCTAAATCTATTTCTCTCTGTGTAGATTTGCCTATTAAAGACATTCCCATAGAAATTTTTTTTAAAAGTTCAATGTCCACTTGATTCTGACTCACGGCAACCCCATGTGTGTCATAGAGTTTTCAATGGCTGATTGTTCAGAAATAGATCACCAGGCCTTTCTTCCGAGTGCCTCTGGGTGGACTCAAACCTCCAACCTTTCGGGCAGCAGCCAAGCGCGTTAACCATTTGGACCTCCCGGGGACTCCTTCCTATGAAAAGAATCATGTAACACGTGACCCTTTGTGTCTGGCTTCTTTCACTTAGCATCATATTGTCACAGTTCATCCACATTGTAGCATACATCAGTACTTAATCTGTGTTGTTGAATTGGATTTTACTGTCAGACAAAGAACTAAAATGTGTTTGCACTTGGATTACTGAATGGGGTTATTTCATTCATTTCTGTGTAAAAGTTCTACAAATGTTGCTTTTAGCAATATGTGTTTAAGTGATTTCTAAAGTGACTTCCATCTGGAAGTATGTCTTGTCTGTAGAAAGGAAGGCTTCTGAATGAGAAACCCCCAGGGCAGGGCATCCAAGTTTGATGGGGTCTGATTCTTCTACAATTTGAGGGACCCGTTTTAGAAATATGGAGCCCTGGTGGCACAGTGGTTAAGAGCTCGGATGTTAACCGAAAGGTCGGCAGTTCAAATCCACCAGCTACTCCTTGGAAACCCTATGGGGCAGTTCTACTCTTGCCCTATAGGGTCACTATGAGACGGAATTGACTCCATGGCGACAGGTTTGGTTTGGTTTCGGGGTTTTTTTTTCCCCCTTTAGAAATATAAGATTATAAAATACAAGGTGAGGCCTTAGAAGGAGCTTAAGCTTCAGGTAAATCCACCTGAACTCAGATCATTGTTATAGAGGGCAGTGGTGGTTCAGTGGTACAATTCTTGCCGTCCACGCAGGAGACCCAGGTTTGATTCCTGGCCAAGGCACCTCATGCACAGCCATCACTGTCTGTTGCTGGAGGCTTGCATGTTGCTATGATGCTGAACAGGTTTCAACAAAGTTTCCAGACTAAGATGGACTAGGAAGAAAGGCCTGGCAGTCTCCTTCTGAAAATCAGCCCATGAAAACCTTATGAATTACAATGGTCTGATCCACAGCTGATCATTGGGATGGTGCAGGACTGGGCAGCATTTTGTCCTGTTGTGCATGGGGTCACCATGAGTTGGGGGCCAACTATATGGCACCTAAGAATAACGACAGTGGAGGTAAAAGCAGATTGCAGTGCGTTGAGGAGTGAGAGGAGGCCCCGGCCCCAGGGCTGAGGATGCCTTGGACCCAGGGCCTGGGCTGACTTTGCCTCCCACACCTATTGTATGTTATTTGTTGAGGTGTTTTTTTTTTTAACTTTGGACTGCCTGTTCATTCTGATATTTTCAGAATGGTTTGCTGCTTCAGTGTCCCAGTGATGTCATTTTTTGTGTCATGCAAGGTGTGTTACTGCTGTTTAAGGGGAATGATGGAGGCTTTATGACACCAAATGCAGTCCTGAGTCACTGAGGCATCAGCCTCAGCCGGCAAGCGGGAATTCTGGGATGCATTCCTGGCCAGTAGTGATGTTACCAGCGTCCAACCCAGCAGCAGGAAGTGAATAACCCGCACCAAATCCTCAGCCAGCACTCACCCTAGTGATTCACTCTAGGTTTGCTGGGCCACTAACCACAAGGTCGGATGTCTGAGTCCACCCAGAGGTGCCTTGGAAGAAAGGCCTGGCAATCTGTTTCTGAAAGGTCACAGCCTTGAAACCCTTTGGAGCGCAGTTCTGTTCTGACAGACATGGGGTCATCATGAGTCAGAATTGACTCAGCAGCAACTGTTGGTTCTAGTCAGGTCAGGCTAGACTCTGCTGCTGTAACAAACCAATCTCAACGGCTTTGTGTATCAAAATGTCTTTCTTACTCCTGCTAAGTCTGCTGAACCATTGCCTTTTGGGCCGAGGAAGGGGCAGTGGCCTCTGGGCATTTCTCCATCAGGCTGACGCAGTCCTTGTACCCCCAGGTGTGGCTCTGCGGGGGCAGCATGGAGGTCCTGCCGTGCTCACGGGTGGCCCATATCGAGCGGAAGAAGAAGCCATACAACAGCAACATTGGCTTCTACACCAAGAGAAATGCTCTCCGGGTGGCTGAGGTCTGGATGGACGATTACAAGTCCCACGTGTACATAGCATGGAACCTGCCGCTGGAGGTATGGCCAGCTTCCCTTCCCCCACACCCTGAAAGAGTGATCCTTGCTGCTTGGAGGCCACTCCTCAAACAGGTGCTCATACTCACTGTCTTTCTCTTCTCTAGAGAAACAGAGCCAGTGGTTGATATATATATACACACACCTACACAGAGAGACGTTTACTCCAAAGGATTGGCTCACGTGATTGTGGGGTAGTGGGGGCTGGCAAGTCCAAAATTCATAGGTCAGGTGGCAGGCTGGAGACTCCCTCAGGCTTGCAACCCAAGATCCATAGGTCAGGTGACCGGAAGAGTGCAAAGTGGAGAGATGATGCACGTTCTGCAAAAAATCTGTTTATAGTCTGGAGGCAATCCACACCCTAAGGAAACTCCCCTTTCAACTGATTGATTGCGTTAGATTGCATTATAGAAGGCAATTACATTGCATTACATTATGGAAAGTAACTCGTCTAGTATTTGGCCAAACCACCGGGAATCACAGCTTAGCCAAGTTGAAACGTAAAATGAACCATCACATTTGAAAAATCATGAGTGCATTTTGAGGGCATTCACAGACCTCCGAGTTTTAGAACCCCTGCTTTACATGGGAATTGGCATGATGGGAATCTCTAAATCCCTTTGCTGTGATGAGAGGGCTCTCGTATTTATCCTGGTCTTATTACATTGATCTACTGCACCTGCTGCTGGACATGTACTGTGGCCAGAAGGTTGTTGCCCAAAGTTTTGGCACCATACCCCATCATCTGCTCCCACTGCACGCTGCCATGGAGTTCCAGCTGCCCTGGGATGTGCCTACCGTGGGCTGAATCCCTTGTCTACGTGGCTCTTCAGCTCTCCCTTCTGCTCGGCCTGGAATACAGCCGAAGAAAGCCCCATGTTACTCCAGTCCCACTGGAGGATCGCACCCTGGTTGTGTGCTAGCTTGGTTTGAGTCCCAGCCTGGCCACTTAGTAGCTATGAGAGCTTGAACAAATCCACTTCTTTTTTCTGTACCTTAGTTTCCTCAGCTATAAAATGGGAATAATGACCGTTCCTCCTCCATAAGGTGATTGTAAGGACTAAATGAGTTTAATACACATGACATGCTCAGAGCGGCACCTGGCCTGGGATACCTGCTTGGTAATGTTGACGAGTGTCGTTAATCACAGTGGGGTGACCTGCCCCCTCCACCACAGCTGGGTTTTTCTCCTCAGCCACAACATCCATGGGTTTCCCTGAGGCACACCAAATGAGTGAACTGGGATTGGTTCCCACTGAGAGTTGGCAGCCCCTTTGTTTCAGGAGTCTGGAGCCCAGAATAGCAGAATTGCAGCTGAACATACACAGGCTTTATGGATCATGAGGATAAAAGTCAAGACTGTATATCATTGTTGTTAGAATTTTTGAAATACCTTTTTAAATACTTGGCTGAAAATCATCTATGGCCACATAGTACTTTGTAGTTGTTAAACTATAAGTGCTTTTACAACAAGATGGATTGACACAGTGGCTGCAACAATGGGCTCAAACATACCTACTATTGTGAGGATGGTGTAGGACCAGGCAAAATTTCATTCTGTTATACATAAGGTCGCTATGAGTCAGAGCTGACTCAGTGGCATCTAACAACAACAGCATTATTATTATTATTAGGCAGCCGTAGCGGCAAGCGCTAGGTTAAGTACTCGGCTGCTAACTGGAAGGTTGGTGGTTCGAACCCACCCGGTGGCCCCATGGGAGAAAGACCTGGCCATCTGCTCCCATAAAGATTACACCTAAGAACACCCTATGAGGCAGTTTTTTTCTGTTACTTGGGGTCACTATGAGTTGGAACTGACTTGACAGCACCCAACAACAACATTTTTAATAATTATAACAAACGTAAGCAACATTTGTTGAGTGCTTACTATGTCCCAGGTAGTCAGTAAGTTCCTTATTTGCATTATCTCATTCATCCTTCATGACAACCTCATGACACACAAACTGTCTGCCTCAGCTTCCGCATCTATAAATTGGGATTGTAGTAATACCTACTGCATAAGGCTGCTGTGAAGGTGGAAAGGAGGCTCAGAACAGAGCTTAGCTAATATTAAATGCTCAGTAAATGCCAGCTTGGCAGAACCTATTAGGATGCCCATTTTACAGATGAGGAAACCAAAGCTCAGGAGGCTAAGTGACTTGTTTAAGGCCCTACAGCTAGTCCATGGCAGGGCAGGGTGGAACTCACATCTTAACTCAGCCTTCCCCACTGCCCCACGACCTCAGTAGAATAGGCCTAAGAAAGATGATGAGACTTCTGGCCACAGCCCTAAGAACTCAGGTCTCCCGACTCTAGCCAGTGCTTTCTCCGTCACTGCAGACAGCCTTCCGCTGCCTGCTGCCAGTGGTACCTGGCCGTGCTTTTTAAAAAATGACCATTTTCATTGATCGTGCAAAGTATATTAAAAACAAAGAGTTAAAATTGTTTCTTAGGTTTGTCTTTGCATTTTAATGTTTGGCATTTAAAGGGGTTTTCCTTTAAAAGCACTGTTTGACAGCCCAAACCTTAGTGAAATGATTTAAACCCTTCTCCAAAAACACTGCCTGGTCCCAGAGAGAACATCCAGTCTCCACTAATCCACGGCCATCTTGCAGCTGAGTCTGCTAAGTCATATTTCAGATAACTTTATTTTCTCCTGTCAGCACACAGCAGCCCATTACAGGTTCATGTCTATAAAAGCAGAGTGAATTATTCATTAGAACATCGTTACAAGCTTTGCAATGGAAAATTATTTTCACTTCTGCATATAATGAACTTTACAAAGAGCCAGCAAAGAGGGAAATTACACATGTATAGGAAAGAAAGACGGGAGGTGGTGATAGGCACTTATTTTCTTGTTTTAATCAAATCATCCCTCTAATTCCTGGCTCAGGTAGTTACTGAGGTAGCGTGGAAGATGTCACGCTGAGCAGAGGTCATCTGCGCTGGTGTGTCCCGGGACTCTTTCACGAAGTGAGGACAAGGACAGCTGCTGTCGTCTGGGGACTGTGGTTGGGGAGCAGGAGTCTCTGACTCGGTTCTAGATGATTCAGGTTTCTGTTAGTTGCTGTGGAGTCGGCTCTGACTCCTGGTGACCAATGTACAACAGAATGAAATGCTGCCCAGTCCTGCATCCTCTTCAGGACACTTGCATCCACTGTTGTGGTCACTGTGTATTTTGAGCGCCTTCCACCTAGGGGCTCATCTTCCGCCACTATATGCGACAATATTCTGTTGTGATCCCTCCGGCTTTCATCGGCTAATTCTAGAAAGTAGATCGCCAGGCCTTTCTTCCTAGTCTGTCTTAATCTGGAAGCTCCACTGAAACCTGTCCACCATGGGTGACCCTTCCTGACATCTGAAATACTGATGGCATAGCTTTCAGCATCACAGAAATGTGCAACCACACTGTAGGAGACACTGACAGATGGGTGGGGGAGATGATTCAAGTGGATTTCCATAAACCAACCTCCTGAGTAAGCTTAAGATCTTCTCTCTGTAGGGGTTCCCTGATGGTGACTCCACCTGCCCCCTCTGGCCGGAGCCCCACAGTCACTCACACCCTTTTGCTTCTCTCTACTTCCAGAATCCAGGAATTGACATCGGTGATATCTCTGAAAGAAGAGCATTAAGGAAAAGCTTAAAGTGTAAGAATTTTCAGTGGTACCTGGACCACGTCTACCCAGAAATGAGAAGATACAACAATACTGTTGCGTATGGGGAGGTAATTAAGATCACGCAAGCTCTCGGCCTGGGATGCTGTTCAGTGTGCTGTGTGTTGCCTTGCTGGGGGTAGCTAGGCAACAGAGTATTCATTCATTCCCTTAGCCGTCCATCAGTGAGAGGTTTGTGCAGGGACATCCCTGACAGCAAGGCTGTCTCAGGCAGATGAGGAGATGTGTAACACACTGTACAACGTGGGCCTGGATACATGGCCGTGGCAGCCTGCTCTGCCTGAGGAAGAGACTGGGCCTTGAGTTCTGTTTGGAACATTTTGATTTTGATTTTGAGGACATATAAATGGAGACATTGAGCATTAAGTCGGGTCTGTAGCTCAGGAGTCACTCATACTCATCGCGACCCTATAGGACAGGATAGAACTGCCCCATAGGGCTTCCAAGGAGTGGCTGGTAGATTCAAACTGCCAATCTTTTGGTTAGCAGCTGAGCTCTTAACCAGTACGCCACCTATGAGTCGCAATCGACTCAATGGCATTGGATTTGGTTTTTTTTTGGTTTAGTTCAGGAGAGGCTTCTTCCAAAGCAGCTCTAGTATTCAGTGCTCAGTGCCAGGGCTCAGCGCCACTTTCTGCTGAAGAAAGCACAGAGCTGCTCCTCACAGATTATCTGTAATGAGATAATATCCCCTATTTAAACATTAAAACAAATTGAATACAAATACTATAAATAGTCATTTTAGAAAATTTTGAAAGTAATAATAGCCACAAACATTTATTGAGTGCTTTTTATGTGCCAGGCACTATTCTAAGTGCTCTTCACATACTAATTCATTTTACCTTCACCTTATGAGGTGTAGGTGTATTATTATCCCCATTATATTGATAAGAAGGCCACAGACATTTAATGACTTGCCTGTGGTCACCCAGCTCATCAGTCATGGAGCCAGGACTAGACACAGGCATGCTGACTCCAGAGAGAATGTGGACATTTGATATATGGCATTCAGTGCTGTGTGTGTACTCATATATACGCATATATGTTTATATATGTGTGTGTACACATACACACATACACATATGGTTGTTGGGTGGCACAAATGATGTAAGTGCTCAACTACTAGCCAAAAGGATGGTAGTTCAAACCTACCCAGAAGCACCTTGAAAGACAGGCCTGGCAATCTGCCTCCAAAACGTCACAGCCTTGAAAATCATATGGAGAAGTTCTACTCTGACACATACTTGTTAGATGCCGTCAAGTTAACTCTGAGTCATAACAACCCCTTGTGTGTCAGAGTAGAACTGTGCTTGATAGGGTTTTCAATGGCTGGTTTTTTGGAGGCAGATTGCCAGGCCTTTCTTCCAAAGTGCCTCTAGGTAGACTTGAACCTCCAAACTTTTGGTTAGCAGCCAAGCATGTTAACCATTTGCACTAACCATGGATTCCATATGCATACATGTTTATTCATTTATTTATTGTATTTTAGACTAAAACTGTGCTGTCCACAATGCCTTATAATTTAAAATTTCACTTAATAGTATACAGGGAGTACTCTCCTATGTCATCAAGTATTTTTCTGCAACATTATTAATATATGCATGTGATTGCATCTTTTGTGTGTGTGGTGCTTTGCTTGAAAATTTAAACATTCAGATTGCTGCCGGTTTGAAAATACCATAAATACCACAGCTGAGAACACCCTTACATACAAGTCTCGGTTCATCTGCTTTATCCCCTCCGTGAGTGTGGTTTTAGGCGTGGAGTTGGGGACACAGAGTCAGGCCTGGCTCAGGGAGTGGGAGCTGTGGCCCCCAGAGGCGGCAGCAGAGAAGCCACCTGCTGGGTCTGGCATTTGGTTCTCTTTCCTGGGCTGCAGGGGACTCCCTGTGATGACCAGGCCGAAGCTAAGAAGACTGTTTGTTTGATTTAGAGTGTTTACATTTTCTCTACAGCTGTGAATTTCCCTGTTTTATGCCTCATGCCTATATAGTTGTCTAGAAAGTCAGTCAAGGCCTGGTTAAACCATCTGACTGACGGTGGCATCTAGCATGGGAAGTTCATTTCTTGGAGTGGCAGTCTGTCCAGAAGTCAAGAACGTGTGAAGACTCTGGAGCCAGCCTGCCGGATTCAAATTCTAGTGGCCTGTTACCAGCTGTGGCCCTTCTCAGATTCCCTTCCCTCGTTGATAAAATGGGGAAAATAAAAGCATCTGCTTCATCGGGTGACATGAGCTATGAAGTGCAGAGTTTTTAGAACAGTCCCTGACTTGCTGCATTAACTATTCTAGGTTCTAACTGCCTTGTCTTTTCTTCATCAAATAAGAGCGTGTATTATTTTTCAGGTTATCAAAGTAAGACCAGAGTCCCTGGGTGGTACAAACAGTTAAGCCCTTGAATATTAGCCAGAAGGTTGGCAATTCTAACCCACCCAGAGGTGCCTAAGACAAATTGCTTAGCTCTGTGGAAAAGAAATCAATTTGCATCCTTATAGCTCACCATATACCACATAGATTTCAGACAGATATAGAGCATTAAGTGAAAGAAGTGAGACCATAAGGAAATAGATATGAGTCTGGTCTCTGAATGAGGAGGGGCTTTCTAAGAATGAAAGCCACGCAAGGCAGTGCAAAAGAAAAGGATGAGTCTGAGCACATAAATAGTAAAATAATCTGTACATCAGCTGGAAGTCCTGGTGGTGTAGTGATTAAGAGCTATGGCTGCTAACCAAACGGTTGGCAGTTTGAATCCACTAGCTGCTCCCTAGAAACCCTATGGGGCAGTTCTGGTCTGTCCTATGGGGTCACTATGAGTCAGAATCGACTTGATGGCAATGGGTTTGGGTTTTTTTTATACGTCAATTGGATAGGGAAATAATATGCCAGACTGGAAATATGTATGCCACAAATAGTACAGATACAGGGATAATACCATTTATATATGATGAGCTCAAATACATTTGAATAAAATCCAGCAACACTAATATCCCAAAAGAAAAATAGACATAGTACAGGGAAGGCCCACTTAACACAAGAAGAAATACAAATGGTTGAAAAACATATAAAAAATTTAAATTTATTTCATAATCAAAGAAATTACAATAAATTTTTAAACACATTGAGATGCCTTTTTCCCCTACCAAATGAACCTAGATTTAGTTTTGGAAAGTATGTTGGTACTTTGCTGGCAAGGTCTTGGTGATATGAAAAATCGCATATCAGAGAGTGCACACTGAAACCAGCTTTTTAAGAAGCCGTTTAAACCACAGGCTTATTGATAGTCATACTTCTATCCCCCCTCTTATGCTAAGCAAATACTGTAAAGTGGGGACAAAGATGTAAGAGCAGAATTGTTCATCTCAGTGATTTTTTTGAGAGAGGGAGCAAAACTTTAACTTGAAGGAAATGGTTGATTAACTATAACATAATATAATCATGGTTTGAAATATTTTGCAGCCGTTACAAAAGCTGTGTAGGAAAGGTCAATGACATGAGAAAAACACTGATAATATAGGAATGCTGAAAAAGAGAAAGTCAGGATTATATACTGTAATGGAGACGTGTTACACACAACATGGATGAACCTTGCAAACGTTAAACCAAAACCAAACCCGTTGCCGTCGAGTTGATTCTGACTCATAGCAACCCTATAGGACAGAGTAGAACTGCCCCATAGGGTTTCCAAGGAGTGGCTAGTGTATTTGAACTGCCATCCTTCTGGTTAGCAGCCATAGCTCTTAACCACTGTGCCACCAGGGCTTCTTGAAAATATTATGCTGAGTGAATTAGTCGCAAAAAGACGAATACTATGTGATCTCACTTATATACAATAGGCAAACAGATAGAAACCAAAGCTTATTGGTGGTCACCAGGAGCGGGAGAGGGTGGAAAGGAGGAGTTATTCCATAGAGGGCATTGAGTTTATGGTAATGTGGTAGAATATTTTGAAAAAGGATAGTGATAATGGTCGTGCAACATGAAGAGTGTAATCAATGTCACTGAATCATACATGTAGAAATTGTTGAATTGGTAAATGTTTTGTTATGTATATTTTTACCACAATTTAAAAAAAAAACTAGCATATTATTTAAATAAAAGCAAACACTGTACTGGCTACAGTTTAGATTAAAAGAAAGGAGAATAGCCTGGGGAAATGGAGATGGTAGCTGTGGTTACCTCTGGGTGAAAGGACTGCAGACAGTTTTGTGGGGGGGCTTTTTCATGTTTTTCCAATTTTGACTGATGTTTATGTGATAATTTTATAATTAGAAAAAAAGTGGTTATTAGAAAAGAAAAAATAAATATGGGGAAATGCTAGAAGATGGCCAGGGCTGCTGTGTACAGCTGCACACACTGTGCACTGTGCAACTGCAGGGGCTGCTGCTCACATAACTGCAGCGTAAGTGATGTCCCTGGAGCTGTGCAGTGGGGTGTCTGGGCAGGTCACATAGATCTCATTGTCTGACTTTTGGAAAGGGGAGCTTTTTTCTTTGCAAATTTTCCTCTTTTAAAAAAAAAATAAATTCAATACATACTACATTCTATAGAAAACATAAAGAAGAAAGCAAAACTTATTCCAAATCCCAATTCCCAGATAGGATCGATGTTAACGTTTTAGGGCATTTGCTTCTATTACTGCTTCTCCTTTATAGTTTACATCGTTCATTTTCCACATACATTTCTGTTTGAGAGGCTGTCCCCAGGCCAATGAATAGTTCTACTTTTTATGCTTCTTGCTCTTTCCTAATTTATAATTAGTTTGTTTTTTTGGCTTTAAAAAGCTTTTTAGTCTTGTGGATCTTATGCATATTGTTCTTCAGTACATTATGATTACAGCTAATTAAAAAAAAAAAAAAGCCTCTGAGCCTTTCTGTGTCAGAATCAAGGGTCAAGTGCATGTAACACAAGAATTTTAAATCTTTCCAGGGCCCCTCACCAAGTCGGGATGTTTAAAACAACAACTACTACCATTTACTAACAACATTTTCTCATAAAAGAAAGACCATGCCAACTTTTTAAAAAGCTGGTAGGAAGGACAAAAATGTCAGATTA